TTTTTTTTTTTTTTTTTGAATGTCCAGAGGACCAGATTGAACTTTTTAGGATTTTTCTACCTGGATTATTGAGCATGCATCAGGATATTCCAAAATGTATCTTTCTCCTCCCTATCACATCCAACCTGTGGAACATAACCACTGACAACATTTAGCATCCAACCTTCTACTCTACCTTCAGTCACATCACCCTATCTGACACTCTTTTCACCTCTACTACATTCTTTGCCAACTTCTCCTTCAGGACCACCCCTTCTCCATTTCTCTTTCTATGCACACCATGGTAAAACAGTTTAAACCCTGCTCCAAAGCTGTGAGCCTTGCCTTCCACTTGGTCTCTTGGACAGATAAAACATCTACCTTCCTTCTCTGCATCATGTCAGCCCACTCTTTACCTTTGCCTATCATTGTCTCCACAATTAGAGTTGCAACCCTCAGTCCTACATTCTTGACTTTCTTCTTCTCCCTCTTCAAAAATGACAACTATTTTTTAAAGGGCGATGTTGTTTTTTTCCTACAGATATGTATGACCTACCATAATTTGATCTTATCATCATATATGATGACATACTTCAAGATTTGGTTTTTGTGGTTATTTACTGTACAGGAATGAATTTTAAGCAAACCAATGATGATATTCTTTCATAACTTTAAAATATAATCTCTCAATCTGAATCCGTTTTCATACAGTTTAATTCAGAATGTTAGGTAGCTAGTGAAATAGTTTAACTGTTAGTATATTTATTAGTGTAATGCCCTCAAGACTTACTGTTGGTCTGACACTGTGTTACAGTGTGTGGAGGCCATCTGACTGGCCCCGCTGGTTCGTTCAGTTATCCCAACACTCCAGGTCATGATGATTATGATCACCAGGTCAGCTGTGCCTGGGTGATAACCACCGATCCAAATAAGGTCAGTTCCTGTTTCTCTTAATACTTGCTGGTGTCCATCTCTGGTCCATTGCTATCAAACAGGTGTGTGGAGTTCTGCAGTGGATTTACTACTGTACTTTATTTATTAAATCATGTTGCCAGTGCTGCTTCGTTTATGTGTAACATTTTTATTATTGTGATTGAATTTTATTATATATATTACTTTGTATATTATACACTGTAATGCTTTTTATTTTGTTTGTTTCTGTTTGCTTCCTTCTTCAGATTCTTCGTATCACCTTCCCTTTTTTCGATATTGAGAACAGCGCCAACTGCAACTTTGACTTTCTTCAGATCCATGATGGCAGCAGTGCCTCTGCTTATATGATTGGAAAATACTGTGGACAAAATAATCCTCCAGAACTTTTCAGCTCACATAATTCTTTGTATTTTTGGTTTCGCTCTGACCATTCTATCAGTAAGGGTGGCTTCACCGTAACTTGGCAGTCACAGAACCCAGGTAGGAAGTGTGTGTGTGTGTGTGTGTGTGTGTGTGTGTGGGGGGGGGGGGGGTTTTTTTTGACTTTGCTGAATATTTTTTATTAGATTTAAAAAAATCAAATGCATTTTTAAGGTTTACTGAACAAAGACACAAGATTCATAATTAACTGTAGTTCTTAAAAAGTCTCAGAAACAACAAACGTTGTTTTCACAAACTGTTTTTTGTAAACATTTGGAAAGGTTTGCATTTCCAGTAAAATACTTATTAATGTTTTCTAGTAGTTTTTATAAAAAAATAAGATAACTCCTAAAATGTTGGTTGTTTGAGATACATTTTCTTTTTCTACTATCACCTTTCATGACAAGTAGTAAGCACATTGAGGAAATTCAAATTTATTGAATAAAATAAGATGCCTATTGGGGCAGCACGGTGGCGCAACTGGTAGAGCTGCTGCCTCTCAGTGAGCAGGTCCTTGGTTCAAACCCCGGTCCAGGGACCCTCTGGGTGGAGTTTGCATGTTCTCTCCGTGCATGCGTGGGTTTTCTCTGGGTACTCAGGTTTCCTCCCACAGACCAAAAACATGCATGTTAGGCTGATTGGTACCTCTAAATTGTCCCTC